CCGCTTGTCGTTTCACCGTTGTTTAATCGTTTTTTGATGGCGGTCTCGCGATACTTCGCGTGCCCGGTCGATTCGTCAATTATGTCGAATCGCGGCTGAATTTGAATCCCTCTTCCACGATGGTTTATTAGAGTTTATGGAGAGGCGATTCCGCGTGGGACGCGTCGACGCAAACAGGTAGCTGTTCCGATGTGTCAAGAGATAGATACATTTTCTTCCCCTTTTGTACCTTATCTCTTGCGTTTCTCCTGGAACTCTTGGATGCTGTATCTCCTGTCGCTTCGATTTGTATCTCCGATTTTAAGATGTCTCTTCTCTTTCTCGTTTTGCTTCTCTTAGACCCTCGAATTTCCGTTCGATTCCGCTCTGATTTTCGAGTCGGCACTTGTCACTCTCGACCCTCGTATCTTCGTTGCTCGGCTCCGCTCGCTTTTCATTTCCCCGCCGTTCCCCGCTCTTTAACGGATCGCTCCCAGGTGGTTTCAAGGCTGACTGACGCATCGATATCCCTGTGTTCTTCGCTCATCGAACTTGAATAGCGAATCGAACAGTGAGTCCGACGAGCTGAGAAGCCGAGCTTGAAACGGTGTACGCCGATCGGATAGTTGTAATCGAATAAAGTATATATCGGGCACGGAGTCGCCGTCTCGTCGCGACGAGACAATAATCCATTGGGACCAGGTTCCTGCGGTCTGCGGTTCTGCGATCCGCGAATACGTCTGTCACAATCGTTAACAATCGCTTAGGAGCGATCGAGAGAAAGAAATCAGTGAAATCGAGGAACACAGCGATCAAATATTCAACGCGTTGCGGCTCGCAAGAAGTCTCGATTTAATGTCTCACTGGCTACATCGGTATTTACACGCCGACGGTTTGCCAAAGTTAAGATATCAGTGCACCGAGCTGATAATAAAAAAGGTAGACTCTCTCGGGAAGTAGAAATGAGCTGGGCTCGAGTCCAAAGTTCGCGATTGCATTGGAATAAGGGCGGAGAGCACTCCACTCGAACCTGCAAAACATTCTGTCCCGTGCACACCACGGTTATTTTAATCAGTCCGTGTGACAACTAAAAGCTAGGCGTCTACAAGCGAGAACCACTCGATACAACGATAATTCGCGCGGTAGAGGTTGAAATTCGTATTATCCCCGCAACACGATCCCCGAAATCCCCGACCGATCGAAACGGAACAAGCCGCGAAAAGAACACGATAGATCCCTCGACGGACGATCAGAAGGAGGCGATTAAGCCAAATATTGTGTCAGGAGCTTAGCCCCGGTGTGCGGTAGACACAGGGATCGGCGAGGGGGGCGTTTAATTCTGTGGAGGAGGCCAATCGATCACAGCAATCTCCACCCACAAACGACGATTGTCGCGTTCGGGCCTTGCACCCTTCGCTCAATTCGCATTCCCCGTTGACTGTTGCAGGCCCGTGAACCCGAGCACCCAGCCACGCAGCGGGGACACGAGATCGATACAGCCCGATACAGGGGATAACCGTTCGCGAAATCGTTCTGGAAGACAGGAAGCATCGTAGCTTTACATCGTCCCTAATTGACAGGTGGGAAAGGAGGGTTGGCGGCGGGACCGCGTGGCGCACGGCGAAAGGAGGGCCGACACGCGTATATCAACTGGAGCAGGATAGAGGATAGTGTCGCGACTGCGAAGAACGAAGAAGGAACGAGAAGGGAGAAAGCAGAAGAAAACGGGACAGAGAGGAACAGAAGAGGAATAGAGAAAAGAAGAAGAAGAAGAAGACAAGCCTCGAAAATTTACGAGTGTAGCAGGTTCGCTTCGCGCGTCCGGTAACTTGGGCCAGTCCGGAGCGTTACAAATGGTCCACCCGTAAAGCCAGCTTACCGTAGAAGACACCGGAAGTAGCCGCCGGATTTCCGTGGCGCTAGACCCGCGGACGTTCCCGGCCAGAATAGAAAATTCCAGTTTATCGACGCCCATTGCGAAAGGTTCCCCGGATCCTCTAGGTCCTGCGATTTTTGGATCCGAGCGATGATCCCGGTGTTCGAAGGAGGATCAATCGCGCCTGGCCGTCGCTGAGAGAATGTCGAGCACCCGAGCGGCCAGCTGCTGAGCGACCGGCGCCGGTGCAGTTCATCGATCAACAAAACTCGCTCAAATGGGTTAAAAACGATCGCGATGGACGGCGCGACCCCGTGCTGCTCGCAAAATGGTGATCGTGCTGCCCTCCTGGAAACGCAACAAGTGGCGAACCGCTCCTTATTCCTGAGCCGTCATCGTTGCTACCCGAGAGACGGGACAGGGGATTCGATCCAGGACCCGTCACCTTTGATCTGAGGATCCCGTAGTCACTTCAGAAGGATCGGGCGTCGTTTCTAGCTCCTGGTAAACTGTATCAAACGAGAGCTCGCGTTGTATATACCTGTATATGTATGTATATGTATCCTCTTCGGGCACGAGAGTTTCCGTGGACGAGGATTAAAGGACTGAACCAGTTGTCCGGCTGGGGAATAAGCTTCTTCCGGTAGATCGATCGATCCGAGGGACGGTTCTTTTAAGTTTCGCCGGAGTTTGAAGCTGAAGAGGACTGATTCTTCCCGAGGATCGAGGGATTCTTGACGATGAGAGGAGCCGATGCCCGGCGAAGGACGTCTTCTAGGGGAAAAGGAGGATCCTCGGCGTCGCTGCGACTGTGAACGCGGCCGCGCCGGCCCAGAGGAGTTTGGTGGATAATCTGCGAGGCATCGGTCGCCATCGGATGAGACGATGGTGATCAAGATCTCCGCGGTCGAGGCTGGCGTTCCTTTGTTAAGCGCCGTCGGTCCGCGCTGCGTCGTCAAGCAGGCCACGGTTAAGCGATGCGTCGCGGCCCTGCTGCTCGTCTCCGTCGCGAGTATATTCTACTACACGCATTACATCATCAGCAGCCCCTTGGCTAGGTGAGTGTTCATTTATTTTTCATAACTGTTTCTAATCATCTATTGGTATTCATTTCATTCGTTACCGTATAGGAATAATTCGATATTATTTCCACCAGATTTTCACTGTGCCTATTAGAAGCTTGTCAGCCTTCTCGATTACTGCACACAAAAGTAGCTTAATATTCCTCTTTCCACTCGGCTGTTATTGATTTTCCGGACTATTAAATAATCCGCTCGTTTATCACGATAAAATTCATTTCAAAATGCAAACAGTGGAAATTTACGATTAACAAATGTTTAAAAATCGAGTCGAGCCATTGAAGCCACCCGTGAATAAATATCACGAAAGTAAATTTGACCAACCTTTAACTTTCGTACAGCCGAGAAAATATTAAACTACCGTGTGGGCAATGGTATTAGTCACAGACAGAAATGTTATCTGATAAATTCATTCGTTTCCCCTGACCGACGCAATTTCTCGGCATGTCCCGGAGCTGAATCTCCTTATTGGTCCAGACGCTCGATCACGCTAATAAATTCTCTCGGTGCAATTAACGAAAGTCTTTGTCCGGTACGTGTCCCGGCATCGATTACGCGTAACAGATCGTTCCGTGCGTGGCAAAGGTAATTTTATTACCCGCGGGCATGAAATTCCGCGGTCAGATTAACGAGCCCCGATATTCGTGACATTTTTTACCGAGCGGTGAAACTGCTCCCTTGAAGTTTCTCCCCCGTATATTTTCCTTTGCGCGCTCGGAAATACTGAAAAATTCGACGGCGGCTCCGGGGGAAGCAATTTTCCATTTTCCCCGTCCGATATCTCTACCCGATCTCTCTCCCTTGGTCGGTCCTTTCGCGCCGGTACGCGTGAAATCGTCTTTGATGCGTTCCGCGTCAGCGCGGAACCCAATTTCCGCGTTTCCACGGCCGGATTATCGAATATTGTTAATCCGAAACGATATGTACCGATAATGCCGGGAATTTTTTATCTGGATCGCCAGGAACCTGTAGCGATAACCGTGAATCTCTAGCGATTGATCCCGGAGAACGCTTTGAAAGGACAAAGTGCGACGAGGCGGAACCTAGAAGTGGCAATCGTTTCGCGAATCGGTAAAAGCGGTTTACAGATTCGCCGTTTGACCCCTCGATCCCGGTTGTCGAAGCTTTTTTCAGCTCGATTCTTCCCTGGGAATGAGTAGTTGTATTCCAGCCCTACGCCATATTACTCGCGCGGGCAAATTAATATCGACCCGAGCCCTTTCGACCGCGAAACTACACAATCAATCTCACCGTGCTATTACTCTGTACTCTTGCTTCGCGGATAGTTTACCTTTGTTGCCTTCATTCTCCTTTTTTTCGCCGTAACGTCGAAGTTTCAAGTTACCTAGACATTAGGTGTTACCTGTATTACCTCAAATTACCTGTATAATAGCTATTAGCTGTTCCAACTGCGAATTACCTACTTCACCGCTATTATACATATATTGTGCAACAGAACTTCAGTCGAGCGAGTTAAATCGCGTTCCCCGCGACGCGGTGTCTCGAATTCGTGTCCCTAAGGTATAACACTTTCAACGTGAAATAACACGTTGGCTGCTTACTGGCCTCGCGAAGTTAATAAATCTCCAATCTATATACATACCTTTTCATTCCCCGTCCTATTTCTCTAAAAAAACAAACTTCATACCGAACGTGAATAAACGAAACCTTCGAACCCATAAAACTCGTAACGCGCATTCTCGACGAGACATGATTCAATCTCTTCAATCATAGATCGTCATCAAAACGTCTGCAAACATAACATTGAAGTACATCTCTTTGTCACGTTTCTAATTTTCTGACATTAGTTGTTACCAAGAAGATAAACAATTTCATAAAGAATTCCCTTATTAACGTCGATTCATTTAAACGTCATAAATCACCTATGGTACATGCCGGTGTGAAACAAATTTATAAAATTTTCAATTCAATATCAAACCTGGTGCAATGTATCAACACATAAAACATCGAAGTAAAATAGTTGTCTCTTAATTTGTAGAAGATAATCAATTGTGTTGCGAAAAATATCGTTAATATTCAGTCAGAAAGGGTTAAAACCCTCGAAAATAAGCCCACACAGCCCGTAATTCCGAATTCTCGCACAGCGAACAAATCCCAACAGCAATTCCAAGTCACAGCTCGATATAAATCAGCGCAGTTCGCGTCGAAACGAGACCAACGTCTTATTAAGTCCCGCCGCTGACCGTCTCGTGAGATGCGCGGAACGTCTAGGAACACGGGGTGCAAACGGATGTAATATTTCGAGGGATGCAAACGGTCGGTCCAATTCCAATCTTCCCCGATCTTCGCCGGTGTTCGGTATCGCGCCGCTGTGCCCGGGCTGCGCTAGGTCTGTAGTTAATTAGAGAAGACGAATAACCCCACGGGCCGAACGGAGGCGTTCGTCTCGGCTCGATATGGACCCAATCTCGCCTGGTCTGGATAACCGGCGCTGGAGGGAGCGAGTCCGCGGGAAACGGCTTCCTCCCTGGTCGCCGATTGCGACTAACCCGTAGAGAGAGGCCGAAAGAGAAAGAGAAAGGGAGAGAGTCTGCGGACCGGCCTCGAAATCCGGCGTTATTTCGTGGCCGGAGTAATTACGTTGCGCCAAATTGTTGCTGGCAGTTGTTTGACTCGCGCGGCGGTTTCCTCGGGGACCTATATCTTAATTGCGCGATAATACTGCGATGCAGAATGCCTCGGCCAGATTTGAAGTTAATTACACGGCCGGACGTGTTCGTTAACGATCGAGGCGCGCGCCTTGTAGCTTCGATTAAGAATTCGAAGGGAAATCGGGAGACACTAGGATTCTAATCAGGAATTCGTGAAACTTTAATTCGATGCTGATAATTTGAAGTTCTACGATTCTTAGACGTTTGATTTATTCGAGTGCTAAAGGTTTCCTTTAGTCGAAATTCTAGTGTGAATGTGAGTTTCCTGTTTCCAATTGAGTCAGATCCCCAGTTGACCGAGTTGCACGCGATATCTAGTTAAAGGGAAAAGGTTTATCGATAACTGAACGTAACCAGCGACTCGGTTAAAAAACAGCGACCAGGATGTCCAGCTCGAAGCTCCTCGAGTTGAGAACAGCGAAAGGTCTATCTCGAAGCTACCTACCCCGCGGTCAATCGAGCCCTAGCAATTGATCACCGCCCTATAGCCGCGGCCACCTTTCTGTTAATTGATATAGCGGTTCGGTCCGGCTGATGGATCAATCTTAATAGATAACCTATGACCGTTCCGCGAGCAATTGTAGGTTCGGCGCAAACCGTCGTCAATCACGAAACCTAATACTCTCTGGCGCTAGAGGACATTGACATGTAATTTCACATCGACGTGGCCCGGCTGCGCGTATTGCCTCCGAGACCGCCACGATACTCTGAATCACACGCCGTGTGTCACCTACGAAATGGAACCGGCCATCCACAGTCCGGTGACTCAGGCTTCTTAATTGTCCCGCGCTGCGGTGTGTATTTATTAGCCCGGGTCGATAACAGATACCGATTGTCCGGACCGAGTCACTGCCTCCTGGGGGCCCGGGTAATTTATAGCCCCTTATCGCCGCCGGAGTACGTTCAACCGTGCAGGTCCCATTTTTCCCAGGTAATCCGAATGATATTCTTCGGACATTAGCTAGATACTCGGAGGAATCGTCGGATCCAGCTTAATGCGATCGATGGAAACGTCCGCCGGAATTAAAGTGTCCTAATCTCCGAAGAGCCTCGAAGCTCCGCTTTTAAGATGCTCACCTATGAACGAAACGAACCGCGAAATTGCCCGCAGTTTCCGAGGAATAAGCAGAAGCGGGGATTACGCGAAGGAATATTAAGGCAATTCGAAAAATTGATTTAAAACAGTATAACGGAGGATATATCAATGCACTCCGTAGGTCCCTTGGAAATCAGATCCCCTAGTTATAGCTTTATTAACCGATCGCCTATAAAGATCTCCAGAAACACCGAACGCTCGCTATTCGCGGCACGAGAACGTTAATCCGGCGAGATTGTGTTTTCATCGCAGTTAATCGCTCAACTTGACACGCCTTCGGCGGAGGTAGGGGTAGGATAATCTGACAAGAGGGATAATCTCTTACTCGTTAGCCGGCACGTGTTCCGCGCGTCGTTGTTCCCCGCCGTGGTCATCGGCGCGGTTCAGCGGCCGCGAAAGTGGATTTCCAGCTTTGCCCGTTAAACCGTCAACACCGCCGGCAGCGGCGGCGCGGGGAGGTGCAGGGGCAGGAAAGGGTGAATAATAATTCGCTCGGAGGTGAGAAGTTTGCGAACGGTCGGTTTTCTCCGCGCGCCGGACCAACGGGAAGCTTGAATTGGCGCTGATTGGGCGTGCGATTAACATCCGGCCGCGTTTCGCGTCCCACGATCGAGAATGCGCCTCCTCTCCGCACGGGCCGGAGGATCTCTTAGCGGCCGGCCCTATTCAGAGACTTTGCTCCCCTTTCGCGCCGGGACCCGGACGCGAAACTCGCATTCCGCCGGCGAGACATTTGCATTCCGCGGCGGGCACACCTCTCGCTCCCGTAATTGGGAGAATTTATTCGCCGCCGGTGACCGAGACCACGGTCACCCGTGTCCCGGACACGCCGTTTCAGGATCGGTGAATCATAAATTAGGATCGCGCGCGAGCACGCCGCTCGGGAGAAATTCGACTCACGCGGTATGACTTAACCTCCTCGCCGTTAGATCTCTGTTTAGAACGGGCCGAGCTGGTTTTAGCTCCTCTTTGATTGTGATTTATATCGCGCGAGTCGCATCAGGTTGAATAATACGAAGAGAGATGCTGGAGATTAAGTGGATTCTCTGTGCGGATCGAACGATCGGTTTGAATCTCGGTGCAGCCGAATTTTGTCGGATCTATGAAATACTGGAAGATTAGGGGAATAATTACCGTGAGAAACCTTGAGATTTTAATTTCCGTTTGGTTAGAAAAGTTGTTGGAATGTTAGTAATGTGATGAGTGGATTT